CGAAGATAATGCCACCGATGACGGGGCCGTGAAAACCACCGGAACAGATGCTGCCAAATGGAATTCGACCGAGGGCGAGGTGGAAGAGGAAGAGGAGGAGACAGATGCCGCCAAAGACGATGCCACTCAGGGTGAGGAGGATGTTTACGCGGCCCAGGGGGCCAGGGAGAGCACCGTCGTGGCAGGGGCAGGGGAAGACGACACCACGGATGTAGATGCTGCGAACTTCAACGTCACCATGGAAGAGACGAACGCAGCGCCCGTGGCTGCCGCCGGGGCAAGGGCTGTCAAAGAGACTGGCACAGGGGCAGAGGCCGCGGGCGCGGCCGAGGCGCGCGCTGCCAAGGATAACGCCACTGATCGAGAGGAGGAGGAGGAGGAGGAGGAGGAGGAGGAGGAGGAGGACGAGGAGGAGACAGGGGCCGCCAAGGAGAATTCCTCCACCGAGGGAGAGGCCGATGTCGCCAGGCGGGCTACGGAGGCGGAGGCGGAGCCTCGGGGTGCCGCGGACGCGGAGGCGGCCGAGGAGCAGCGGGGGGCAGGGGTGGACAGGGCGGCCGCGGAAGAGGCAGGGGCTGCCGGGGGGGGCAGGGAGGCCGCAGGTGCCGCGGAGGCGGGTGCCGCCCGGGAGGGCGCCACCGGGGCAGGGGCAGGAGAAGGCAAGGCCACCGAGGCAGGGGCTGCCGCAGAGGGAGCCACCGAGGCAGAGACCGTGGATGCCACCGAGGCAGAGGCTGCCAGGGAGAATGCCACCGAGTCAGCGGCAGAGGAAGACGAGGCTACCGAGGCAGGGGGTGTCAAGCTAGATGCCACCAAGCTACAGGCAGCAGACGCTGACGCAGAGGAAGAAGCTGAGGATGCCACCGAGGCAGGGGCTGTCGACGATAATCTCACAGAGGCAGACGCTGAGGCCGTGGATGCCACCGAGACAGAGGCTGCCAAGGAGAATGCCACCGAGGAGGAGGCGGAAGAGAAGGAGGAGGAAGAGGGAACGGTGGATACCAAAGAGAACGCCACCGAAGATGAGGAGGAAGAGGAGGAGGCTGACGTGGCAGGGATGGCCAAAGAGAACACCACCGAGGCAGTGGCAGAGGAAGACAATGCCACCGATGCAGAGGTTGCCCCAGAGGGCACCGCCGAGGAGGATGCAGTCGATGCCACCGAGACAGAGGCTGCAAAGGAAAATGACACCGAGGAGGAGGAGGAGCAGGAAGAGCAAGACGAGGAGAAGAAGGGAATGGCCGCTGCCAAAGAGAATGCCACCGAGCACGAGGAGGATGAGGCAGAGGCTGCCACAGAAGATGTCGCCGAGGCAGTGGCGGAGGAAGACAATGCCACCGAGGCAGAGGCTGCCAAGTTAGATTCCACCAAGCTGCAGGCAGCAGACGCTGACGCAGAGGCAGAGGCTGTCGTAGATAATCTCACAGGGTCAGACGCTGAGGCCGTGGATGCCACTGAGACAGAGGCTGCCAAGGAGAATGTCACCGAGGAGGAGGCGGAAGAAAAGGAGGAGGAAGAGGGAACGGTGGATGCCAAAGAGAACGCCACCGAAGATGAGGAGGAAGAGGAGGAGGCTGACGTGGCAGAGATGGCCAAAGAGAACACCACCGAGGCAGTGGCAGAGGAAGACAATGCCACCGATGCAGAGGTTGCCGAAGAGGGCACCGCCGAGGAGGATGCAGTCGATGCCACCGAGACAGAGGCTGCCAAGGAGAATGCCACTGAGGAGGAGGAGGAGGAGGAGGAGGAGGAAGAGCAAGAAGAGGAGGAGGAGGCGGAAGGAGAGGAAGAAGAGGATGGAATGGTCGCCGCCAAAGAGAATGCCACCGAGCACGAGGAGGATGAGGCAGAGGCTGCCACAGAAGATGTCGCCGGGGCAGTGGCAGAGGAAGACAATGCCACCGAGGCAGAGGCTGCCAAGTTAGATTCCACCAAGCTGCAGGCAGCAGACGCTGACGCAGAGGCAGAGGCTGTCGTAGATAATCTCACAGAGTCAGACGCTGACGCCGTCGATGCCACCGAGACAGAGGCTGCCAAGGAGAATGTCACCGAGGAGGAGGCGGAAGACGAGGAGGAGGAGGAGGAGGAGGGAACGGTGAATGCCACCGAGGATGAGGGAGAGGAGGAGGCTGACGTGGCAGAGATGGCCAAAGAGAACACCACCGAGGCAGTGGCAGAGGAAGACAATGCCACCGATGCAGAGGTTGCCGAAGAGGGTACCGCCGAGGAAGATGCAGTGGATGCCACAGAGACAGAGGCTGCCAAGGAGAATGCCACTGAGACGGAGGAGGAGAAGGAGGAGGAGGAGCAAGAAGAAGATAAAGAGAGAGTCGATGCCAAAGAGAATGCCACCGAGGATGAGGAGGACGAGGCAGAGGCTGCCGAAGAAGATGTCGCCAAGGCAGGGGCCGTCAAGGTGGATGCCACCAAGCTGGAGGCAGCAGACGCCGACGCAGAGGAAGAGGCAGACAATACCACCGAGGTGGAGGCTGCCGGAGAGGCGCCGAGGGGCCGGGGGGGCGGCGCGGCTGCGCGCGGTGGGCTGCTGCTCTGAGGTCTCGGCAGCGTCCACAAAGTCTGTCCTCCTGCGTACGGTCACGAAGGCCTTCTTTGGCTCTCGCTGGCTTTCCGGCCTCGGGACGCTCTCGCGAGGATGGAAGCGAGAAGGACCCAGACATGCGACGTCCTGATTTTTTCAGGACGGCGTCCCCGCAAGTCCCGACCCTTTCCCCGGGACCGGTTTTTCGTCCTGAGTCGTTTTTTGACGGTCCCGAGGCCCGGCGAGGACCTCTAGAGGGCGAAAGTACTCCAAAACCCGCCCGTCCTGATTTTTTTACGACGCCATCATGTCTGGGACGCTCTCGCGAGGATGGAAGCGAGAATGAGAAGTGCCTTCGAGGCTGCTTCTTCGAGGTTCGAGCCTCGAGGTCGGAGTGTTTCGGGCACCGTCGTGGTGTCCATGGCGGTCCTCCGCCCTCGGGACGCGCTCCATGGAGCTGCGCCTCGCCGAGCGCGGCTTTCCAGGAAGCCCGGGCGCCAGCGTCTGCACAGTGTGCCCCCGGGGGAGCTCGCCGTCGGGGCGCGGATCGACTTCTCTGCAGAGCGATGCCCCCGCGGGGCATCGCCGTCGGGGGGGGGGGGGGGGGCGCCCTGGTTCAGAGCGTGAATTACCTCCCCCGCTTTCGCTTCCAGGCAAAGCCAAGTCATACCACGCGCCTCCTTGTCAGGCGGCCTGACCAGTGCAGGGTGCAGTTTGGCATCGCTTGGTATCTCTTGGAAGCGAGGGTGGTCAAAAGCGAGGGAGGTTTGTTTTCCCCCTACTGGTGCTCCAGGCAGAGGCAGAGGCCCGAGCGAGAGAGAGAGAGAGCGAGCGAGCGGCCGCCCGAGGCTCTCGAGAGCCAGGCCCGAGCCAGCCAGGCGCCTCGGCCTGCGAAACGCCCGGAGTCTATTGCCGGGGCGGCGCCCTCGGAGGCCCTTCGGCCCTTCAACCCGGGGGCCGGCTGCTCGTCTTATAGGTCGGGCGTGCCCCTCTACAGGGAGGAAAACCCAGACAGGATGGCGTCGTAAAAAACTCAGGACGGGCGGGTTTGGGGTATTTTCGCCCTCGAGAGGTCCTCGCCGGGCCTCGGGACCGTCAAACAACGACTCAGGGCGAAGAACCGGTCCCGGGGAAAGGGTCGCGGGACTTGCGGGGACGCCGTCCTGAAAAAATCAGGACGTCGCATGTCTGGGAATGCAAAAGCAGCCAACACAAAAATAGTCTGGGGACGATGTTTTTCACTATGTTTGCCCTTTCCCCGGGGCCAGCTTCTCGTCTTCGGTCGGGCGTGCCCCTCTACGGGAGGAAGATGCAAAAGCAGTCAACACAAAAATAGTCTGGGGACGATGTGTTTAACTATTGTTGCCCTTCCCCCGGGGCCGGCTTCTCGTCTTATAGGTCGGGCGTGCCCCTCTACGGGAGGAAAATGCAGCAAAAGCAGTCAACACAAAAATAGTCTGGGGACGATGTTTTTAACTATATTTTTGCCCTTCCCCCGGGGCCGGCTTCTCGTCGTCGGTCGGGCGTGTCCCTCTACGGGAGGAAAATGCAAAAGCAGTCAACACAAAAATAGTCTGGGGACGATGTGTTTAACTATTGTTGCCCTTCCCCCGGGGCCGGCTTCTCGTCTTATAGGTCGGGCGTGTCCCTCTGCGGGAGGAAAATGCAAAAGCAGTCAACACAAAAATAGTCTGGGGACGATGTGTTTAACTATTGTTGCCCTTCCCCCGGGGCCGGCTTCTCGTCTTAGGTCGGGCGTGTCCCTCTACGGGAGGAAAATGCAAAAGCAGTCAACACAAAAATAGTCTGAGGACGATGTTTTCAACTATTTTTGCCCTTCCCCCGGGGCCGGCTTCTCGTCTTAGGTCGGGCTTGCCCCTCTACGGGAGGAATATGCAAAAGCAGTCAACACAAAAATAGTCTGGGGACGATGTTTTTAACTATTTTTGCCCTTCCCCCGGGCCCAGCTTCTCGTCGTCGGTCGGGCGTGTCCCTCTACGGGAGGAAAATGCAAAAGCAGTCAACACAAAATTATCCTGGCAAAGGACCCAACCATGTGCAATTGTGAATACCGCATTTGTGAATATCTTCTTCGGTGGTGCTCCCGATGGGGCCACGAAACGTGTGAGGGGTGTGCCGAAATGGGTGCGCGGGACGCGTGCGGGCACACCCACTGGGACCTTCGGTGGAGCTCCCCATGGGGCCACGAAGCGTGTGAAGAGCATGCCGAAATGGGCGTGCGGGACGCATGCGGGCACACCCACTGGGACCTTCAGTGGAGCCCCCTACGGGGCCACGAAACGTGCGAGGGGTGTGCCGAAATGAGTGTGCGGGACGCGTGCGGGCACACCCACTGGGACCTTCGGTGGAGCTCCCCATGGGGCCACGAAGCGTGTGAGGGGTCACGAAACGTGTGAGGGGTGTGCCGAAATGGGCGTGCGGGACGCATGAAGGCACACCCACTGGGGCCTTCGGTGGAGCTCCATATGGGGCCACGAAGCGTGTGAAGAGCATGCCGAAATGGGTGTGCGGGACGCATGCGGGCACACCCACTGGGGGGACCTTCGGTGGAGCCCCCTAGGGGGCCACGAAACGTGCGAGGGGTGTGCCGAAATGAGTGTGCGGGACGCGTGCGGACGGCAGCACTGGGGCCTTCGGTGGAGCTCCCTATGGGGCCACGAAGCGTGTGAGGGGTGTGCCGAAATGAATGTGCGGGACGCATGCGGGCACACCCAACGGGACCTTCGGTGGAGCTCCCTTTGGGGCCACGAAACGTGTGAGGGGTGTGCCGAATTGGGTGTGCGTGACGCATGCGGGCGGCAGCACTGGGGCCTTCGGCGGAGCTCCCTATGTGGCCACGAAACGTGTGAGGGGTGTGCCGAACTGGGTGTGCGTGGCGCATGCGGGCGGCAGCGCTGGGGCCTTCGGCGGAGTTCCTTATGGGGCCACGAAACGTGTGAGGGGTGTGCCGAATTGGGTGTGCGTGACGCATGCCGGCGGCAGCACTGGGGCCTTCGGAGCGTGTGAGGGGTGTGCCGAATTGGGCGTGCGTGACGCATGCAAGCGGCAGCACTGGGGCCTTCGGCGGAGCTCCCTATGGGGCCACGAAACGTGTGAGGGGTGTGCCGAATTGGGTGTGCGTGACGCATGCGGGCGGCAGCAGACGAAACAGGGGTGTGCGTGTGCGTGACGCAGCACTGGGGCCTTCGGCGGAGCTCCTATGGGGCCACGAAGCGTGTGAGGGGTGTACCGAATTGTGTGTGGGTGACGCATGCGGGCGGCAGCCTGGGGCCTTCGGCGGAGCTCCTATGGGGCCACGAAGTGTGTGAGGGGTGTGCCGAATTCGGTGTGGGTGACATGCGGGCGGCAGCACTGGGGCCTTCGGCGGAGCTCCTATGGGGCCACGAACGTGTGAAGGGGTGTGCCGAATTGTGTGTGGGTGACGCATGCGGGCGGCAGCATTGGGGCCTTCGGCGGAGCTCCTATGGGGCCACGAAACGTGTGAGGGGTGTGCCGAATTGGTGTGGGTGACGCATGCGGGCGGCAGCACTGGGGCCTTCGGCGGAGCTCCTATGGGGCCACGAAACGTGTGAGGGGTGTGCCGAATTGGGTGTGGGTGACGCATGCGGGCGGCAGCACTGGGGCCTTCGGCGGAGCTCCTATGGGGCCACGAAACGTGTGAGGGGTGTGCCGAATTGTGTGTGGGTGACGCATGCGGGCGGCAGCACTGGGGCCTTCGGCGGAGCTCCTATGGGGCCACGAAGCGTGTGAGGGGTGTACCGAATTGTGTGTGGGTGACGCATGCGGGCGGCAGCACTGGGGCCTTCGGCGGAGCTCCTATGGGGCCACGAAGTGTGTGAGGGGTGTGCCGAATTCGGTGTGGGTGACGCATGCGGGCGGCAGCACTGGGGCCTTCGGCGGAGCTCCTATGGAGCCACGAAGCGTGTGAGGAGTGTGCCGAATTGTGTGTGGGTGACGCATGCGGGCGGCAGCACTGGGGCCTTCGGCGGAGCTCCTATGGGGCTACGAAACGCTGTATTGGGTGGGTGAAACGCAGGGAAGAGGGGGAGGAGGGAGGAGGAGGAGGAGGAGGAGGAGAGGAGGAGGAGGAGAGGAGGAGGAGAGGAGACGCGGGCCACCGTCTCTTCAAAACGAGGACCCAACACCACAGGATGGTTGGGATTATTTTGCTCTTTCCCCGGGGGCCGGCTTCTCGTCTTAAGTCGGGCTTGTCCTTCTACGGGAGGAAAACTCAAAAATAGTCAAAAAAACAGTAGTCGGGAGACGATGTTTTCAACTATTTTTGCCCTTCCCCCGGGGCCGGCTTCTCGGCTTAAGTCGGGTTTGTCCTTCTACGGGAGGAAAACTCAAAAAGAGTCAAAAAATAGTAGTCGGGGGACGATTTGTTTCACTATTCTTGCCCATGCGGTGGGCATGTTTTGAGTATGTTTCATTTCTCGCCCCAAATCCCCCTGTAGGGGGACACGCCCGACTTAATTCTCGTCCCGAGGCGTGCCTTGACGGCCCCGGGGCCCGGCGCGAGGGCCCCCCGGGGGCCGAAAATGGCAAAGAGCCTCCCGCCCTGATTTCTGCCGCGACGCGGTCCTGCCTGGGGGCCCGGAGATCCAACGCATGGAAAAAGCCAAGGCGGAGGCTTTCCGCACGTTTCGGCCTCGATGGGGCCCTCGCCGGGCCCCGGGGCCGTCCAGACACGATGCGCAGGAGGAGACACCGGCCCCGGGGAACGGGTCGCGGCTTCTGGGGGCCCCGCGCTGCAAACGTCGCGGCGTCGGCTCTCTGGGGGAGGCAGCGCCAGGGGCTCCGAGCACGCCCGCGGGGGGCAGCGTCAGGGGGTCCGAGCGCGCGAGGCGAGGCGCGCTGGCTCGGCGTGCCGCTCCGCCGGCGAAAGCGCGCCACGCTTCGGCGCGGCACGCTCGCCACGCCCCAGCCCCCAGGCGTCC